TTGCGCACTGCAAAAAAAACATGCTGTTCGAATTAATAGTGGTTTGGGCTCGTATTACCAGTAAGAATGTACAGAAAAGGCATAAAATGGGAGCAGAGCTCAGAGTATCTCCTAGTAAGGCAGTTCTGCTGAATTCTTTACACACAGTGTATATCTCTCTCCTCCCTCCCTCCGTCCTTTTAGAATATCAATTACTGTAGCAAACTAGCAAAGTTTCACTTGGTAATTGCATTTAAAATTACATTAAGTATATAGATCTTTCTATCGAAAAACGTTTTCATGCGGCACTTCAGTAGCTCTTTCCATGAATTGCATACTCAAGCGGTAATCAGAACGATCGATATCTCAATCTCTGTTATATTTGGAAGTAAGTACAACAAAAGAGCGCTCATTAAGTGGTTTTCAACACCTGCCATCCGAGTCGGTGAATGTCAATGCCAAACGCTACAATTGTTTGTAAACATAGAGTTTATGACGCAAATTACATGGCGACTTCCACTTGTGCAGATACCCAGCGATACATATGTATGTACATATATGCGCATGGCATTATTTTATACTGATTGCCCTTTACACCTTGATTCGTGTCTGGCAATGTTGCTTGTCACCGCTCAACTGAAATCGAAAACAATAAGCCCCAGCCCCGGCCTCCATCGACGCATTTCTGTCGCAATTGTCAATTGTAGGCCCTAAAAATAAATATCCATTAGGTGGCGAGGCGAACAAAGCTAATCCATTCGATATGCCGGATTAATGTCCACGGTGCTACCAGTTCACATCCGTGTCCGCAGAACTCGTTCTGGCTCAACGGCGAGTATAAATGGAGCAGTCTGTCCGTGGACCAGTATCAGTCAACAAACTTCCAACGTTCGTCGAGCACCGCCAAAAACAATCAAAATCAACATGAAAGTAAGTTCTATCCATCAGCTCTGCAGATAGCTCTGTTTACCTGTGGCTCAATTGCCTTTGTAGTTCCTCATTTGCTTGGCTCTCTTCGTCGCCGTGGCCCAGGCCCATCTTGTGGCGCCAGTTGCCACCTACGCCGCCGCTGCACCTGCCGTGACCTATGCTGCCGCACCTGCCGTCTACTCGGCCGCCGTCCCACGTGCCTACACCACCTACGCAGCCGCTCCATCCGTGTACTCCGCCTCGTACGTGTCGCCGTCTGTCTACTCCGCCTATGCTGCGCCCGCTGTGGTCTCCACCTATGCGGCGCCCGCTGTGGTCTCCACCCTCCTCAAGAAGTGAATCAATCAAGAGAACAAGCAATGGACGTCCCACTACATCCCATGGAAATTAAAGTTAGGTCAGAGTGTATAAATAAATTGAGCTGAAATGAAGATTGACAAAAGGTTTCATTTGGACTCGACCCGAGTGTCAGGGGCGTGAAGGATCACTCCAGCTGCAGCTCCATGAATATTAAGAGTTGAAATATGAAGTCAATTACGGTGCCCCGAAATTGTTGCACATAAACGATGTGCGCGCACTAAGATAATAATGACAGGGCGAGCAAAGCTCACTATCTACATATTTAAACGGTCTGTGGATAATTCGTTGGCATACATATTTTATTTAAGCCCAGTTGTTAGCCCACTTTACACTTTCGAGGGACCCGCTCGAGCGGCGTCGTTGCATGTTCGTGCATCCTGGCAGCAGTTAATGTTATGCAAATGAATTATGGCCGGACTGGGTGGCGGCAGCTGTGGAGCAGCACCCTCCCCCTGCCTCTACCAGGTGTGAAACGTGTACACATTCCAGCTCACGTGAAATGCTAACCGTTAGTCGTCACATAATCCACACGTAAACGCTTGGCAAACAGTCAGAGACAGAGAGAGGGAGACAGTGGGTGCGTGCGTGCGTGTGTGTGTGTGTGTGTGTGTGTGTGTGTGTGTGTAGCATAGCTAATCATCTCGGTAAACAATTGCTTATTGATTTTAGCTCACTTGAACGGTGCTAACTGCCGGCCAAGTGCCACCGAATTATGCAACGTTCCAGACACGGCCAGTGGCTAAGCCCGCTGCGATTCGAGGCTGGCAGGCAAAGTTTCTCAAAAATTCATTCAGTAGAAACAGAATTTTGTAAACTGTTTCTTTTGATTCACTTCCGGCGGGACGAGCAACGATTATGTACAGCAAAAGTTTTGCTCTCGCTCAGCGATACATTTCCGCTGCGCAGTGCGGCCGGGGGCAGGGGAGAGCCCGAAAACTTTTACCTAAATCACTTAGACCAAAAACAAGTGTCGGCATGTCGAAAAATCACGCCGAACAGACAACACAACTACAGCGCGTATTCCGGGATGCGAACACGGCGGAACTTTGGCTGGCGAAACTTTGGCAACAGTTGCCAGCAGCACTTCAAAGCGCCTACACAACACACACACACACACACACACACACACATTATGGTACAATCTTGTTACGAATGCTCAAAAATAAACTTTGATGTATGCGGATATTTATTAGATCAGAGAAAATGAAAGCAGGTTGTCTGCATAGTTATATCAATAAGCTTCCGGGTCTGACATCAGCAGACATTGCACGACTGATTCTTCTTCTTCCCAAACTGTTATGCAATATATTGTAATTAGATTTGCCGCTATTATCATATTTTGCATTTATATTGCCTGCACTGTTTGCTTTATACATTTCAAATTGAAATTACCAAGGACATCGTTGTTTTCTCTTTATTTGTAAAAATGTTATCATACTAATTATTATTGAAATAACTATCCATTTTAATAAAGGCAAGCAGCATCTATGTATTTTTTCATATTTTCAAGAATTTACTATTCCTCTTCGACGTCAAAAAAGTATATGTATGTATTGTATATTGTGCTATATCTTTCAGTACTCCTTCAAATTTACGAATATCAAATAATTATTTATTTCAAATAAATTATTTATAAAGATTATTATATTAATTGTGACTCCTTTCCATTTAATTAGTTAGTAATAGTAATTTCATTAATAATTATTATTAATAATAGTCGTTAACTTACATTCACAATTTGCATAAGTTAGTTTTTATAAATGGCAAACTATTTAGCTTATATGTAGGTGTAAGTACATTATAATATTTTTAATGGGTTTCTCTTTTCCAAAACTCCAGAGAGAATAAACTCTGAACTTTGAAATTAATTTCATAATTTAATGTGAATAAGTAAATATCACGTTTCCAGGACGAAAAGATTAGATCTCAGGCACACCAACATCTAAATTATAATTGAAACTGAATGCCAAAAATAACAAACGCTATCTTACATCTAGTTGAGTGGAGACAACATGTACTTATAATATAGACATGTGTATAATATTTGTATTAGAGTTACACATTATACACAAAATTATTACTTCTTGTGCATCTTGTTCCAGTTTTGCAGGTCTGCTTGCAGCTGGAACTCATTTGGTGGGAGCCAATTAAATTGATGCTATTACAAGCAGCTTATGGGGGTGGCAGCTCCCCATGCACGCGTCCGCATTACGCTCAGCTCGAGGGTGGGGCGCAGGGCAGTAGTTCTGCAACGACGACTGGGAACGACCACAGAAGTTGTTGAGCTGCTCTTTGAGCGGAATAACGTTGTACAACGTGCTGCTGCTCATACGTGTTAGACAATGGCACCAAATCGAGCAGGGCGAGGCCATTGCCAGCTGCACAGTTGCTTGGAGCAAGCGTGTCGCTGCTACACGCTACACAGAAGTCATTATAGTTGGTGCTGGACACCATGGCGATCGGCAGCGCTTTGCCGTTGCCATGTCGCCGCTGAGCACCGCCGTCGAGATCATCCTGTCCGAGGCCACTTTCACGGTGAAGCAGCCATGTCAAACGGAGGAGACGGCCTTGTTAGGCAGGACTGTCGTTTGTGTGCCTCGGCAAGGACTTGCTTGTTGCATAAAAGGCGACTGGAAATGAAATGAAAACAACGTGCAAGAACACAACAGCCCTAATGACAATTGAGTGGAAGGCAACAGCTCAGAACTAATCCGATATTCATTTGTCATTCCCTCAATGTTGTCCTTGCTCCTTGCTGTGCATAAATTGACAACACGCTCTAAGGTACTTACTTATTAGGGCTGTTCCGACTTTCAGTTTCATTGAAAATTCCCTCAGCTTTGCCTCGAGCCTTCACTGTAATCCGTTGAAGTTGTTGGCCCAGACTCTTGACTATATCTGCCGCATTGCCATCGAGTTTTAGTTGTATTTTAAATATTTATTCGGCGGAACAGACCCTACAAGTAAACATATGTACATGCTTATATATTGCCGCCTCCTTCCGGGCCAATAATTAAGCCTATGGCAAGTGAAGTGCATATCAAACACGTTCGCGCGCATTTGGCTGCGTCTCAAGAGGCGACACGCCTCCCACACCCCTCCCCTAGATCGGGCTCTTCAGGCGGCGAGAAAAAACCCTTCTACACGTTCGCTCATTTTTCTGTTGTTGACGATTTTCTTGTTTGTTTGTTTGCTTGCTGCAAGACGCCTTGACAATGGCGGGTCCGTCACGGCCACGTCCTTAGCCAGCCACGCCCACCAGGTAAGGTACGTGTGTGTGCCAGACACAAAGCCAAATGACAAATGACTCTCGAGTGCAGCTGTGCAGAAAGTCAAAAGGTGTTACGTGAAGCAATTGCACGAGCCAACCACACCCCCCTCATCTTGGGGGCAAGCAAATATTTAAAAATATTGAGTGCATTCCGGAGTCAGGAGCTATTTCCTGCTCGGATGTAATATGGAAATATTGCTGGCAAAAGCATAATCTAAATATTTTCCAATATTTGTCAAATATTTAGAGTGTGGCCGCATGGAAGATGAAGCTTTATAGTTCTCTCCGGCAGGAGTAGAACGAATTGTGCACTGCACTTAAATGAGTGCTAAATAATTCAAATGCCTTTATTCCGGGTAGGCTGTGGGAATACAACGGGGTGTGCGGGGTCTTTAGGTGTCACGTATTCTCAGCACTCGTCGATTTCGCAAGATCCAGCTAAGCTCTTCGAGTGTCCCTTTTTCTGTGGCACGCTGTTGAAAGTTTCAGCCGCACCAAATCAAATGTCGATTATCGCCTAGTTAGTTGCACTCCCGGGCCACTCGAGGGCGCAGTTTCAGTGCCCGAAAACTCTTCACATTAGCAGCGGGCAAAATGGCGCCTGGCACCGAGTGTGCGTTTCCGCTTCCGCTTCCGTTTCCATTTCCGATGCCATCTTCCACTCGCAAGGAAAAGGTGCCCAGCCCAGCTCAGTCCCGCTGTCTCCCTCCCTATCACCCTCTGCGTCTATCTCTATCTGTGGCCCAACCCCTGCGATGGCACCAAACGTCACATCGACTGTCTCTCATTATCGGCGTGTTTGTTTTATGAAGGTCGTTTCCAACAGCCCCCAAAATGGCACAAAAGGATTCAGAGCACGCACGCACAGACCCAGCTCTTCGCCTCGCCCTCTCTCTCTCTCTCACTCATTGTCTTTCTCTGCCCCACTCCCAGCCCAAGTGCTCACACTTTCTTGTCGTTGTCATCGTTCTCACCATTTTCGCTGCTTTCCATTGTTATCATCCGCCCGATTCGGCTCCATCTGCTTATGAGTCTTTGCTTTATGACACTTTTGTCCAGTGAAGCTCTGGCTCAAGTTGCTTCTCCATCTCGTTCTCCTTCCTTTCGGCCGCTTTGCCCGCTCATCTTGGTGATATCTTTTCAAAATCAAACATTTCGCTTGTCCGGCAAACCAAAAATTTGTCTTTGCTTTACAAAGTGCTAATAGGGCAGCTGTCAGTGGATGTGGATGAGCCCCAAGTTCATCATAATTGCGTATGACAACAGTCGGAGCGGATCTGACAACAACTTCAGGGTGGCTTCCGCCCTCTTGTCCTTGCTGGATTGGGCTGCCTGTCTTGGGGGAGCACATTAAATTATGGCGCATTATTGACAGTTTATCAAATTGATTTAACAAAGCGTATTGTTGTTGTTATTGCTGCTCGTTGGTTACTTTGTAGGTTACCCCCAAGCACAGTCCCCCAGCAACACCACACCCCTCTCCACTCTGATGGCTCGGTGCGTGCTCTTCTCGTGTATTTTAAGCATCCTTAAGTGGTCATGATAAATGTTATGGCTCTTTCTCTACTTTGCGCCACTCCATTCACTCTTTGTCTAGTCCGCCTTCCGCTTGGCATAGTGCTCTCTCTCTCTCTCTCTCTCTCTCTCTCTGTCGCTCTCTGTTACCCTATATGTGGGTATGTGTGTGAATTTATGTAATGCGCAAAGTTAAAGCATACTTTTTGGCTGTTTGCTTAATGTTTTTGCTGCCGTTGCTCTGCAAAATTTAGTTAATTTTAGTTTGTTTGTACGACAAAGTGCGTTAAATTGTCTGTTGTTTTATTAATTTAAACAAAAGCTGCCAAAAAAGTTTACCAAACTTTCAGGCGTTGCACAAACAAACAAACCCTGCCAGCAGGCATTAGCTCTTCCGGCTTGTTTGATGTGCTGGCTGGCATGATTTGTGCCAGAGATAATAGAATTGGTTGCCGGTAGACTGGCGATGCTACTTTCTCGCCCATTAGTCCATATAATATTCAGAATTTCAAAATTACATAAGACCCAACGGTGTTGTAGCTCTTCCACTCGGCTCAGCTCAACTCTTTCATCAAGAGGGGGACTTTAAATTCTTAACTTTTTTTGGGGGGCGGACAGCTGGCTTTTAATTTTTGTTACTCTGTGCTTTCCTCTCCAAATTAAGCCAGTTAGGCAGCGGAAGTCATGTTAGTTCACCCTCGCACCCGGCTTTCATTGTGAATTTGCATAAAAGACGCTGTTTTCGTGCTGCCAAAGGAATGAAAGGCCAGCCCCAAAATGTATGTATATTCTACTTCACTCTAGCTGCAGCCGTAATAAAATATTTTTTGGCCCAAAGCACAAAAAGCAAGCGAAATTGAAAAGAGAAACTAAACAGTGCAAAACGCAAAGGCGAAAACACACAGAAAAGGAAACAGCAGCACATGCTGATTTTTTACTCCGTGTGTTTCTCTTTCTCTCTCTCTGTTTGTGTGTGTGTGTGTGGAATTAAGTTTACGGAAACGGAAATGGAAGCTGCACGTCGCCATATTGCCTTGAAGCTGATCGCCAGCAGCTGTTGCTCCTCCTCGGCCTCCGCTGCCTTTTGTCGTCCTCGGCTTATTTATTTTGTTTTCGCATTGTGCTGCCGCTGCTGTGACCTTCCCGGCGCTTCCGTGCCAAAATCCCGTCCTCAGGTGCTGCTCACCTCGCTGACCTGTGTTAGCAGCATGCTCTGCTGCTCCAGCTCCGACTGCTCGTCCGACAGCTCCGACTCATCCGCTGTCGCTCTTCGCGGCGCGGGCTTCAGCAGCTCCCAATAATTGCAGCAGTAGATGAATGCACCTGCGCCAGAGAAAGAGAAACGAAGAGAGGAAGAGAGAGAGAGAGTGAGCTTCATCCCTTAAGCCAAGTCCTTATAACTAGCACTGCGAGCAACTCACTTATGCAACTGAGCAGCAGCCACGTAACGGTCGCAATGGCCACCATGAACGAGTACCTGGAGCCGTTCTCCGATGAGGAGCTGCTTGTGGTGTTTGCTGCGGGGATTATCTGTTAGCTCTGCCCTTTACCTGTGCACCATATTTACCACCTTTGATTTGCTCTGTTAGATTTGCATAATCGTAACTTGTTTGACTAGCCATTGCCGACTCTGCTCGAGCTGCCTCTGACGACTGTTTAGCTGGGGACTCTACAGACCAGAAAGCGCTCAACGGTAGCTTAGACTCGGAACAGCCTCTACACTGTGGCGATAGCATATGTTTCTTTATCAAACAAATGAGAAAGCTCTAATCGATTTGCCCGAATAGGAGATACCCTGAACCACGTGTGAGATTAACTTTTAAATATATGGACATTGCTAATCTAAAAATGTATCATAAAATATTATAATTTTAGAGCTTGCATTCCTCTATAGGAATTTCATTTTTGTAGAAAATACAACTCCGGAGCGGAATCAGTCAGAGATAAGGTATAGGATGACATTATTTAAGAGCTTTCCTTTTTTCCGTCAAGTTTCATTTCTAAATGATGAAATATACTCTATTTGATGAGATATGTTGCCTCACCTTCTGCATGTTACATATAGCTTATCAACACCAATATACCCCCATTTCTCAATTTCGAATGAGTTTAGGGTATTTCAAGAACAGCTTACAGCTGCTTAGTTATATACTATTGATGCCAAGTTATTGAATACCCCACTCTTTCTCTCACCCCCTATCCCTTCCACTCTTCCATCACTAACTTCAATTGTTTTGTAGCTGTTATGGAAGGCGTTACTGTTTATCATTTGCCGCATTGCATGACTGGGGCTCATATATCAATATCGCTGCTGCTTGGCAGCCCACTTGGAGTTCGTATTTATAGAGAAAACCAAACAATAACATTGACGAAATTATTGCCGGCGCCCCAAAGGAATTCGTACAACGTCATTGAGACGACGAGAATTTGCAATTTTTCGTGTCCTGCGGCTTGCGTGAGACTTCAATTTGTGGGTGGGGCTGGGACTGCTGCTGGGGCTGGGGCTGGGGCAACGCCCACACTAATTACGAGCGGAGGCCCTGCCCGGGCTCCACGGCTGCTCAGCCAACAGCTGCTCTAATTGAATTCAACAAATAACCGACAGGTCGTCGCTTGAGGAGTGGGGAGACTAGAAGCAGCTGCTCCACGTATGTCGAGCATCATCCGTTTGCCAGCTGCTTGCTTGCAATATCCTGCGGATGTGGTCGTGGTTTCTCGTCTGTGTGGCTAAGCCAGCTAAAGCGGAGCCCTTCAGCAGACAACAGAAAGCAAACTAAGAACGCTTCAGCTCTGCAAAGAGAGTGGCTTGAAAGACGTTTGGTTTTGAGTCGGGCATTTATACATACATATACAAACTTATAAACTGTGTTTAAATGGTTCCACGTCATCCACGCCATGAATAAACTTGCCAAGCCTTAATTCGTAATTCGCTTGAATAGCTGTTGAGCAACAGCTGCCATTTAAATCACATAATTATGCTGCCAATTTTCAGCTTAGAGCCGAGTGCCACTTGAAGCCTGAAAGCAACCTGGCATACTTCCAATATGCAAAGGGTTTCCTCTCAGTCAGCCAGCTGCAATGGGGCATGCAATGTGTGCATGTCGGTGTGTGTGTGAGTGTAGCCTTATAGGCGCATCCTTTTCATCTCTTCTCTTTGGACGCGCAGAGCTCAAAGCTGGGCGCACTATGTACTGCGGGCTGATCTCTCTGAGTAAGCATTTATCTGTTTGAATCCGCTGCGCTCGCCTTCTGACGTAATAAAATTAAATATTTAAGCTTACAACGACTGAATGGGCCACTCCACACGCACACACACACGCACACACACACCCAGAGAGACAGCGAGCTCACAGCGAAAAGGGAAGCGCAGAGGATTTGGCGTTGGTTTTTATGTGAAAGCGCAACATGCAGAGAGACAAAAACAAGTTGGAATGCTTTGGAGTCGCCATGGGACTGGGCTGTGGGGTATCCTGTGGTCTCCAGTGATATGCAGTGGTATCCTGTGGCATCCTATGGCATCCTGAGCCAAAGCTCTGCGCTGACCTAGTTCGTAATCTAACGAGATCCTTTATTTGCAGCTTGTTAACAACAGATAAATATTCCGCATTTCGCTAGCTTCGATTTCGGCATACCCTCTCGCTGCGTTATGCACAGGGTAGAGGCAAAGCGAACTTAACTTTGTGCCATGTTTCATAACACGATACGGCTGTCCTTGCAGCTGCTGTAACTGCGCCAGTGCCATCCATTGCGTGCAGCAGGATTAGGATTAGGCCCTGTCCCTGTGCCAGTCTCTGTCCCTGACCAGGCACAGCTTGCAACTGTGGCGGATTTTGGGATGCTTCTGGCCTCAACACTTAACACAGCAGCACCAGCAGGAGCAGCAGCAGCAACAGCCGCGAGTGGAACAGAGAGAGGATTTGGCGACAACTTCGTCAGGCAGACAGGCACAGCTTTTGTGCTCTGCCACCTGCACGTTTCGTCCTGGTTCGGAACGTGCTGACGCCTCACAAAAGTTGGCATTTTCCCCGAATATTGCTGTCAAAATCAAAATTTATTTGGCAGTGCATTCGATTTTGGCAATTTAGCTGCTCAAAAAGCGAACAAAATAAAATAAAAATGGAAATAGAAATAGAAATAGAAACAGGAAATAAAAAACGACTACAGAGACCCAAGTGTCGAGCGCTACGTGAGAAGCTTTGGTTAGTTCAGGCAAGGATTTTCCATTCTTCTCTCTTTTTTGTAACTTAAAAAAGTGAAAATAAAGTAAACTTTTGCAGCTGCATTTAGCATGTTTCGCTTTAAGTTGGAGGCAAAAATTGGAATTTTCACGGAAAACTTGACGAGCTCTTGAGCATGCCAGCAATTTTTTTATTGAGCTACGCCGATGGAAAACTGAAGAAAAAATGCCAATAAAGTTTAACTACTTAACTTTTCCATACCTTAATTGAGATTTAATAAGAAAGTGCAGCCGGCAAGCTTCTCTGCCCCACAGAGCGTCCAATGAAATTGTTTCTGAAAAAAAGAGAGAAAAGAGGATGGAAATAATAATAAGGAAGCCATATAAAAGCGAATAAGAAAACGAAGGCAAATTACAAAAGCGCCAAACTACATAAATATCAGACGCATTCGAGCGGCAATGCAACAATTTTTAATTACCATTTAGGCGCTTGAACGAGCACAACACAATCCAGTGGAAAATAAAAAACAACTGGACAAGAAAGAGGACTCCAAGAAAAAAATGTACTGAAAATCGCCAAAATCGCTGGAAGCGCTTTACAGGCCCATTTGGCTCAGTGCTGCTGCCCCGGCTCCTGCTACTGCTGCTCCGGCTCCTGCTGCTGCTTGCTGCTGTATTTTTTAGGCATTAAAAAATTAAAAAGCACACAAAAAAAACAGACAGAAATAAGGACGAACGAACGAGAGAAAAAAAAAACACAGAAGAGGAAAAAACGCTGGGGAAATTAAGTCAATGTCCTGCGGGGTCAGTTGCGTTTGGATAAATGTAATTAACCTTCAGGATAAGCATTGAGTTGGGTCTTTGATAATGAACGGCAAATGCCGAGAGAGAGTGAGAGAGAGAGACAGACTGATGAGAAGAGTGCGAGACAGAATGTCAGTAAGTGCGATTTTAAAATACTTCAAACAGAAGTCAAGCTCTTCAGATATGTATGTAAATAAACGAAGAATTAAAATCAAAATATTTAAATCTGTATCTTGTTTTATCACTCTTTCGGCGATATTGATTGAATATTTCTATAAAAGAATAATTATTTAAAAACTGAAATTTAAGTAAACAGAACAGAACGTAAAATGCTTAAAAATAATTAGGGAAGCTTTTAGGCAAATAGAAGTAGAATTAAATACTATTTAAATACGTTTCTGTTTTTATTACTCTTTCGATTATATTATGCTTTGATTATTTCCATAAAATATTTATAAATATACAAAAGAATAAAAGAACTAAAAATACATTAAACAGAAGAATGGGATGAAAGAATCGTTACATATGTTTACCTAATTTATTCCTATTTGTAATGGGTATTATTTTTATTTCTAATTTTATTTTTTTATGGAAACAAACGGAAGACAAAAACTATTTGAATTTATTTAATTGAGTTTCTCGTTTTATAACTTTTTCGATAATAACATGACATGCTTATTTATATTATATTTACATCAATCAAGATTCACACATTGAATGGGAATAGAAAGTAAACTAAACTGTATCTTGCTTTAATATTGTTTCGATAATGCTAAGCAAGTACAATCCGATAAAAATCTCAATTAAATTGTCGCAAGATTCGCCCTGTCGAGTTAGAGTGAGGACCATGGAATAATATATCAGTAGCTTATGTTGGGGCTTTAAGGACACTTTGATGTATTTGCAAATGGTTAATACTTAATCAGTTGGGCGGTTCCGGGGGTGCGCTGTGTGCTCGTTCCCGGCTGAGATATTCATTACCGTATAGAGCAGACCACATCATTAAGGCAGTCAGTCGCCTTGCGAATTAATTACAATGAGGCGAAGGTGTAAAACTCAATGGCGGGCAGGGAACATCATTGACAAGCGGCAGAGGCTGCCCAGCACAATGGAAGCTTAGTTGTAATTACCTTTGGTCAGACACACACACACACACACACATCCGAGGCACACACACGCACATAATTAACTCGATAATGAGGGCAAACTTGTAGCCGAAGCCGGAGTCGGTCCAAGTTGTCGCAAAGGCGCAAAATGCTTCATGTAATGGTGTGTTTGTGCTGTTCCTGTTGTAGTTGTTGCTGTTGTTGTTGTAGCTGTGGTTGGCTGTGGCGGCTACCGTCTCTGTTGCGCTTTGTTTGCCATGATAATGACTTCCGGTTCGCCAGCAAAATGACAGCCGGAATTCGTAATTGCTTTTAAGCGTTTCAGGCCTGCTCTCAATTGGGGCCCCTTTGATTTGCAATTTGCAATTTACTGAAAGCAAGAAACAGCCGAATGAAAGAAAAGGCACAAAGGGACACGGCAAAGCCAAGGCACAATATTGCCTGGCTTATGGTTAAAAGTTACCTCATCGCATTTACTTTCGAGTCTAGTTGAGCCTGCCGTAATTCTTACGCATTTGAGCCCCCTGCGGGCCCGGCCCAGGTGCGAGGTGTGAACAACCTGGTAGCTATGCGGCAAATTGCATTTGACTTGCAACGAGGACAGCAACTGCCAGCCGAAAGGTGTTGTTATGCAAATGCGAGCCGAGCTGGGGAATGTTTGGACTGTGTTTCGATATAGGCTGCAACTGCCAACATTTCCTCAGCAATTCCAAGGCAATGGCAATTTATGCATTGCTCCACATGCAACTCGGACACCTGGAGCGAATTTGTTTGTTTGCCAAACAATGATGCCTGCAACAATCGTGCAATCATTTCTTTTATTTCCATTCCAGTCAATTCCCACTCCATTCGCAGTCAGAGAAACGCGGCTAAATGCTAATTAATAAGGGTTGCCCATTGCCAAAAACTTTTAACACTGACAAATGATCCGAGCTCTGGGATTGGGGCTGGCATTCGTAATGGAATGGCTGGCTCTTTAAGGCGCAGCTGAAACTTCTTTAACGTGGCTTAAATATTAATGGCACATTACGTATACGCCGCGTGCGACGCCTCCAGTTGCGGCAGCTCGACTGGCCGCTGGGAATTTAGTGGTCTTAAATTTAGATCAAATGTATTGAATATGCTTTAGCTGCTCGGGTCCCGCTTCGATGCGCTGGTTTAATATTTATAGACAAAGTCCCAGCGGTCAACGGCTTTGTGTCCATTTGTAAATTTTAAGCACGCAAAAGGTTCGCATATTAAAAGTTAACCAACATTATCTTGGCGCCTTGGCAGCATTATAATTTATTGGGCAATCGGGCGAGCAGGGAGCAGGAGACGGCGAGGCCCGACCGAATGACAAATCTAGTTAAAGTTTCGAGGACAAACTAGATTCCAAACTCGTTGTACGATTCGTTTCATTAATCCGCCTCTTCACTAGTTTCTATAGTTTATTGAATTCATAATTCTCTCTGACATTTCCTTTCACACGACGCACAGCTTTTAATGCTCTTCTTTATGCTGAGATTGTCAAACACGATTCCTCCATTTTTTTTTTTCATTGAGCTTTGCAGTGGTTATTGCAAATTAATTACATCCTCTTTCATTTTTTATGCACACTCGAAAGAGCGCATCTCTATGCCTTCCATCCTGATCCCAACCCGTGTGCCGCTTGCTCAATTGCAACCACAGCAGTCGATGTGGGCGGGTGTTAGGTTAGGGGAGGGGTAATGCTGACAGGTTTGCATATTTCATAGTAGCTACGCATAAGTGACACTTGTCACAACACATTTTCCACACCTGCCCCTCTCCCTCCGCCCATCTCACTCACCCTTTCGCTTCTGCCCTCAGTATAGCCTGAGGGGGCAAAAAAAGCATATTTCAAGTGCGGCACTTCATGTGCGTCAAACAGAGAGCCATTCGTGTGTGTGTGTGTGTGGGTGTTAGACAGAGATGCATCATGGGGTCGAACAGAAAAAGTCCTCGAGTCGAAAGCCCTTGAGTTGTTTTGCAACATTTGAACACGTCAAGTTTTTAAGGTCAGCATGTCGCTGGCAGCCAGACAGCCGCAGACTAGCGCCAGACCGCAATATAAGTTACAGTTGCCTTATTTTTTTTTTTAAGAGTTTTTGTTTTTGGTTTTTTGCGTCCGACGTTTTATATCGTTTACTTATGCACTGAGGCCAGTTCGATGACTCCACTCGAGGAGCGCATTTCAATTGGCCAACCGCGGGCGAGCAACTTAAAGCTGTTCAAACTTTCACTTGAAGTGCTTCATTTGCCAAAAGTAATTCATTACAATTGCATTTTCGGCCAGTGGAAAAAGTTCGTTGGGCGGCCAGTTGCCGAGTGCACTTCAATTGTTTTTTCGCCTGCGGCTAATGGAAGAGAGTGGAGATGCGCAGCGGAGCTGTAAGAGAAATGAATAAAGTACTCATAAGAAACTTGAATACCCTTACCTTCAACTTAATGATATTGTTTCTGGTTCCAGTCATTCCTCCCAATTATTAACTGTGCTTTAGGTCAGTGAGCTTTAGCCTCATACTTTTGACAAAATTCACACTTCTCCAATATCAGTCCATATATTAATACTCTAGCCTTGCTCATTAAATTTACTGTATTAATATTATATTAATTTGAGAAAATGAGTGGTTCCGCTTAACTTTTAGCTGTGCTTCAGCATCACATTTCCGATAGTACGCTGGAATCGATATCAAAATGATTTCAATATATCCCAGTATTCCATTATTATTTTAGCTTTATTTAATTTTATGTTTGGGCAACATATCACCGATATTAAAATGCCTTTCATTGTTTCTTATTTGTCTATTATTTTCAACTTAAAGACTTTCAGCTCACATTTTTAGTTTTTTGCTTTGCTATCAGCACATTCGATAACATGCTGAATCCGATATTAACATGTTTTCAGTATTTACCATTTCTCTATATTGTTTTAAGCTTTATTCAACATAACTATATCATATTTTCATTTTTTCTTTCATATATTTCTTTGGGTATTATAGTCTCGTTATTTTATATATTATGGGACTGCTCTTTGGCTCTCAAGTGAGGAATCATGATTAGGTTTCCATTCATTCCACTTGGCTTTCGGATGTGCTTTAGCATCACACTTCGATAGCACGCAAGGCCGATATTAAAAAGATTAAAATATTTTGAATTTTCTTACATAATTCTTATTGAGCTTTATTTTAAGCTCTCCTATCTGGCATTTTTTTTTTTTTTTTTTTCAACCCTTCATTCCATACATCTTCCAGATACGCTTATTGTTTCGATACCCTAGATTTTTGTCGGGCTGCTCTTTGGCTCTTAAGTTATGGGCCGTGTTTACTCCTTGGGCAGAAGCAGCTTTATGCATTTCCTCCATCTTCTATTATTATTTTTTATTTATGTGTGGGTGGGTGTGTGTTTGTGGCAAACACTTTTTCGTAAAATTTTCTTGAAAGAATGTTAGACAAACCGCTTTGTTGGCAACAATTTGGGTTAAAACTTAAGTATTTTGCTGCGAGCTGCCGCATCGCCCCGACGGCAGCCGCACCCAGTCTGGCTCTTAAATTCTTTGGCACTGCAGTGCTTTGGCTAAAACCATCTAACCAGCAAGTGGAAATAGTGCGGGGCGAAGGGCGAGTTAGAGCAAAGGGGCAAAAAAGCCAAACCAAAAGGAAAAATAAAAAGCGAATGAGGAAAAGAATAACAACGAGAAAAGCAACAAAGTTTGCTTCTTTTTCTTCTTTTTTGTGAACGCTAAAGCTGCCTGTTTGTATTTAGTTGATGCTTTGTGCTTTTCCCGTTTCCCCATGTATTTTGCAAAGCCAAAGGACACAAATTGTCCTTTGCTCCTGTGGGCTTGTGCGCAGCGCGAAATTGGTAAAATGTACTTTCACTTGTAGCCCAGAAAATGAAAAGTATTTTAAAGAGCGAGCTAAGCTAGGCAGGCAGCTTCCTCCAGAAAAATAATTAACATCTATTAGAAAATGTGTGGCTTGGCAAGTTTTTCGTATGGCATCTGGAGCAACGTGTCTGCTAATTTAATTGAAAGTTTGATCAAGTTTAACTAAAACTTTGGATATGCCGCACTGCCGAGGCCACATCAAAGCGTGAAGAGCCAACCAAAGTTGTTCCAATTATATACATTCAAAAGAACCCAGACCCATGCCTAGTCCCAAACCCAAGACCGAAAGGCACATAAGTGTAAGCCACTCTCTTTAGCCATAAGTATATAAATCTGTTTGTTCACTTCTGGGGCAGCTTTATTGGTATCTGAGCAGAGCGCAACTTAACTAATTTTAAAGTTTTTGAAATGAGATCTTCGAGTGTGTGGGACTCGCTCGGTGCTCTGTCTCTGTCTGTGTCTGTGTCTGCGTAAAGTTTTCTAGAGCAACTGATTTGGCACTGCCGTCGCCTGAAATTAGTTGCAATTTTCGGCATCTGGGGAAAATCGTGCCATTCGGCTGCAGCAGCAATGGGAAAAGCAGGAAATTGTCTACAGCAGCTTGCGGTATGCAGTCATCACCATCACAATCACCATCAGCATCAGCATCATCATCACCATTATCATCATCATCTGATCTAAAGATGTCACTTTTGAAGTTTGAAGAGGGCTTTCGTACGAGCCAAAGCACAGCCATGGAAATATTTGGTAAATGCATTTGCATTCGGAGAAATTCCAAAATCTATTTCAGTTTTGATTTGCTTTTCTAAATATTTCGTTCCATTCCATTGTTTCTGTGTGCTTTATACTTGCAAGCTGCAGCCCTAGGCAATTGTATTATCGATATCATTGACTTGGCTCATTTCATAAAGACAGTTTCATTTGGAATTACGTAGCCAAGCGGTAAAGAAGTCTGCTCTGTCAAGTCGTCACTCTAAGAAAAAATGGAGGTCATTGATATTGAAGAACCTACTCCAGCCGTGAATACTGCCAAACCGAAAACCCCTGGCACTGCCATCCTGCTGAAAGTGAAGCGCGAGAATGTTCGCATCGTCGTCAAGGGCAACAAGGCGTACATCTGCATGCGCTGCGAGCCCCAGCAGCAACCGGACTTCTTCGGCACCAACGATCTGCTGGCCGACACGTTAGAAATCGTGCAGCTGCTGATAATACTCTTCATATTCACTTTATTACTGAAATTAGCTGATATGCGATATTAAATACATCTGATTATCAACTTGTGGGCAATCGTTTAATATACTGCTTCTGATTGGGCAAGGGATTTCATTTCATGATTTTCGATAGTCGTAAAATCTGCATAGATATACATACATATGTATGTATATTGTATGTGTGTGCATTTTTCAGTTTAGACTCTAGAGCCACATGTAAAAATATCTACGCATAATACACACATAACTATGACTTATCGATAACACAAATTTGCATCACTTCAAGCTCGCTTTTTAACGACCGCTCAAGGTAAATTTCGCTGACAATGCCTGCTTTGTAAGACAATAAGAAAGATTGTTTTATCATCGCACATCAAAAGTAACTTCATTTCAGCTGTATGCGGATCTCAGGGTTCTTGATGCGCTTGCCCAGGACATCTTTATCTCAATTGATTCGCTGCCCGATGGCACGGATGTGCTTTAATGAGCTGCTGTTAAGGCACCGTCAACCCTCTCGCCACGTGTCGGACGGTTGTCCCAGGCAATTCTGCGAACTGTGCCGTGTGGAGCGAATCGTTATGTACATAGACCGGGCGAAGGTCTCCATTGACATCGCAATGCTGATGATCTCGCACATCTCGTTCTACGGCGCCATTGACGCCGCGAGGCTGAGGGGCATTCAGATACGTCTGGTTACCGACTCGCAGATGATATTCGCGCTGGGCTCGAGGGTCAAGCAGTTGGTGGCCGCCGGGATCCCGGCACGCCACTCCCGCCGAACGTGATGCTGCATCAAAAGCTCTGCATCATCGACGGGGAGCAGTGCGTGCTCGCGCTGGACAAGCAGCAGCGCCGCTGGCACCACCGGCTGTGGTACCGCACCGGCTACGTGCTGACTGGTTCGCTCAACTGGACCAAAGTGGGCACTGGGCGCAACTTCGAGAATGTGGTCATCGCCTCCAATCGGGTCAACAACGCACTCTGCGAGAACTTGTTCAACGATATGTGGAAGCATTTTCCAGTTCTCGACTTGGAAGCCTTCGACTCGATTATAGCGATACCGTTCGAGTATGGAAATAATGCACCTGCCCTGCAAGCAACGGGATAGAAATCTGAGCTAAAGTCACGTCTTCAACTGCAAGTCTTGTGTTTTTATTGTCTTGTTATTTGAATGCATTCTTGGGGGCGTGGTGTTGTTTCTCCTCATCATCATATTCTTTTTCTTAGCATCCCCCTCAGCTGCAGCGAAAAGTTTTCTTCGCAACTATCGCTGCTGCCTCGTCTGCTGGTTACACATCATGCGGGAATTTCAGCAGTTAACCAAGTTAACAAATCCACCTTCTTTCCTTCTTCGCATTGTTTCAGAGTCTTGATTACGCTTTGGTTGCTCATAAATTTGTATTCCAGCGCAAGCAAAAAAGGAAAAAAAAAAAGAAACAGCCAAGTTGCTTACTTTCTCGCAATGGCCAATATAAAGGGCAAAAACTTTTTTATTTCACCTGGGTGGATTGGAGTGAAACTAGAGCGCTGCAATGTGCAAAGGTATTGCCAAATAAACTCATCTCTGACTTCCCCTCGCTTACCCTTGTCCCTGTCCTTCTATCAATTGCGCTTTATCAAATTTAAATGTTGCTCAATATAAACTTTTCTTTCAAGTTTTCTTATAATGAAAGCTGAGGAATAGCAAGAGGAAATTTATCGGTAATGTAGTCTGATATACTAATCAAAGTGACGGTGCAAAAAGTGCTTTTAAGCTACCTGGAATAAAGTATGTATGTATAAATACATATAAGATGAATATAATATACAATGTATGTATGCCGAATCTTTATTATTGTGCATTGTTTAACACTCCTCTTATTCTTAAAGTAGTGTTGGATTATTACTCGATTTGGCAATCCGCTAGAGTGAAACAAATATACATAGCTGTTCCACTTAGTGTTGAGAGCGAATGAGATGGCATGAAAGTCTTAGTCTAAATAATGAAAATAATAAATAAATAGTAAGTTATCATTATTAATGCTTTTTTTTCTTTAATTTTTCTTCCTTTTTTATTTAGTCTTATTGGCTTTGAACAGGAAAACTCAAGATTCATCCATACATTCATCCATCTCCATGTTTTCAACATCGGACAAGTTGTATTTGCCATCGTCGAAATGCTGGATAGGGAGCTGAGTGCGCTCCATTAGATGCGGATTGAGAGCCACGATTGCGCTCCAGGGTATTTCCTTGCCCATCAGCTTCGAGTCCTCGGTCCATGCGACGGTAATGGACTGTATATCGAACTGCTTGGAATCAACGACTGCAGCATGGATGCGCCCATCGGTGCGCCCAATATTGACTTTCTCGCCGATCATAAGAAATTCCATGGTTCTATATTCACAGACTCAGAGATTCACAGATCTTAATATTTATTTTATTTTGTTCCCGAGTATTCAATGTGTTCGTGCCGACGTGTGTTAATTTAAGACTGAATTACGACAGTTGAGCTAGAGTAACTAACGCAATGAGTACTTGATGCGATTGAAAGTATTTTGAGCTTGTTAGTGAGGCCAACTTCGCTTGAATTAGCAGTCCGATAGTCAGCCAGTCACGCAGTCAGCTTGACGCATTGCTCAACGGCACGAGCATTAATCAAAAAGCGCAGCCGGTGACATATTCCGAAGACAGGTGCACCAAGTGGCCGTCGTTTCCAATTTGCCCACACCTGACTTTCGGGCACAACAAAATACGAGCACATCTGGAGGGCTTAGATGCAGCTTTCGACTGACCTACGCATATGACCCCCCTCCCCCCTCCTCACTCTGTTTGCCAGACAAATTTTATGGCCAACATTTTTGGAAGAGTCGCTTGGACGCGCTCGTAAATTCGCAAGGTGTACTCTGTGTGTGTGTGTGTGTGAGTGGGCGTGGGCGTGGCACTTGCTTTTGATATATGGCCATTGCTGCGTTCCGGGTTAGTACTTCTCAAATTAGATTTAGGAACGGTCGCAGGCCGTGAAAGCGTTCTAGCGTCCTAGCGTTTAGCTCTTTCGGTATCATCTGGCCTGGCCCGGGGTCCAGCTGCCATAAAATGTGAGGTGAACCCAAAATGTTGCAATATTTACACAGCACAATTTAAAGTACGCACAACATTGTAACTCACGTGCCGGGGGGATACACACACACATACACACCTGTACATATATTTGAGCAATAATTTGCTGACGCAAAAGCGATCTGCCTTCTGTCTAGACCTGATGCAGCAGCTGCGAATCGAACTGCAGCTCAATTTAATTAAAACAAAAATCAAGCGATTAAGTAAAGTTCACGCATCGGGGGACTAAACAAACATCTGTGCGTGGGTGTGTGTGTCTCAGCTCACAAGCCAATGACCCACTCACATCTGTCTGTGTGTGTGCTGTGCTGTGCTGGAGCCAGTCAGGTGTAAAAACTAATTTACAGAATTCTATAAGGGCACAATAGTCACGTTAAACCAGGCAAGCAAGACCGCAAACACTTCGGGCCCGAGGACTCGAGACCTTTTGCGTACATGGCCATTAATGCAAAATGTTTTCTCTATGCCCGAAAAGTTTTCTATGGCTCTATATAGTCGCCATGCTGGGCTGGGTGCCAGTCAGCGCCCTTGGCCACGCCTCCTGCTCTGCTGTGTAAATTTTGTGCCACGTCGCGGCTGAAAGGCTAAATGGAAAATTGGTTGAACAACATTTGATTTATGTACATAGTTGGCATATGTATGCATATGTGTGTGTGTGTATTTGATATTTGAGCACACATCCTTTCCAGCGTTGCATAAATGTTGATTCTTTCAAGTGAGTCGCCATTAAAGTCTATCGCTCGTATTTAAGGTATTTGCAATTTCAGTTAGTGGGTCACCCGGCTGACAATGGGATTGGCCGTCGACCGCAAAATCACCAGCAGCAGCAGCAGCAGGAGCAGCAGAAGCCGCATCATCATCATCGCCATCGTCAATATCAGTGGAGCACATAAATCTCATGGCTACAGCAATCAGAAGCGGAATCAGGAGCAGTATCTGTAACAGAAACCAGTGCCAACTTGTCAGGCTGTCGCGGAGGGTGGGGGCGAGGGCAACAGGGGGGGATAGTGGAAATAGCGACTGGCATCAAGGGCGCCATAAATGAGAATTTCCGACTCATTTCCGTTGTTTGTGTGTGGTTCATTTGTGGAACATAATGAGGCACTGTGGAAGGACAACGACAACAACAACAACAGCAGCAGCAACAAAATGCATAGCCAAAGCAAAACGGCCCAAAGTAGGCAATGCCACATATTGATTTTCATTTAAAGCGCCTTTCACCCAATGCCCTTTGGCCTGGCCAAATGTATGGCTGCATTTATGGTGCGCCTCCAGCCGGGGGCAAGGCCCCAAGCCAACTTGACCTTTCGCTGCATGGCCAACTGCAACTGCAACTGCAACTGCTATGCCAACTGCCATTTGTCAGCATTAGCGCAATTAGAGCCCGCCCGCAGCCACAAGCGTGTCAAGGGCATCATAAATGGGCAAATCTCGGCGCCGTGTGATGGCCAGGTACTGGCTCCGGTACCAGCCCCGGCAGCCCGCAGAAGTACAATTCAATTAAATGCAGCTCGCTGCTGCCAAAGAACAATTTGTTATCACATACATATGCCCGCAGGCGTGGCGCATGCTAAGATATATGCGCTCGTAAATTTTGCATTAGCTTCGAGATAGCGAGGGCTAATACAACAGGCAGCCGAATAACGGACGGCTCCGTCTCTGTGAGATAGCTGCGTTATCCTGCATGGAAATATACTGACATCCCCACTGATTATCCGGGTAAGGCACACTGAGCATGGGGCTCGATTTATAGGCAGATCAAAAGTTGTAAGCACACACTCAGACACAGACATAGCCTCAAACAACAAACACATAGAAACAAAAAAATAAAATTAAATAAAAAAAAAAATAACAAAACACACACAAGTATACCCGAGACACATACATATATACACCGTACAAGATTGGTATAGTAAGAGAAGACAGAGACTATGTTCCAGGACGGGCCACAAAACTCGAACTTGCGCCTCACCCATGAATTCAAGTAAGTTCATTGACTCTGACTGCCTCGGATCTCTAGTTAACATTCCTCCTCTTCCGCCTACTCCAGAAGAGTCACCACCGACGACAGCTGCTCGGAGGCGAGCACCAACCAGTTCACGAGGGCTGTGCTCGCGCGGTGAGTAGAAATCACATCGGCGAGCTATCGCCGATCTATATACATACATACATATGCTTTCTGAGAACTGTCAATCCAGTTGTGTGTTTGCCAATAAATTGAAAAAGTTGACTTTTATATTTTTATACTTTTGATAGGACATGGAAAAATATCTTCATAAAAGATTGTACATCCACATAGACTGATGTCCGATTCGCAAGCTGCAACTTGTGCTTACGTTTCTGTAAATTCATTCATTTCTCTCCCCCAGCACCCCCCTGCTGTTGGTAGACTATGTGCAATTTCTGGCCGCTCGCAAGATACAGAAGCATTGGCGCGGCCATTATGAGCGGAGTTTACTGTACAAGCGGTGGCTGGCGGCGGTCACCATACAGCGGTGGTGGCGCGGCTACTGGGTGCGCAAGAGCCACTTCGGCTTCGTGGAGAGCAAGCTCCAGACTACGCTCCTCAATCACTACAATCGGGCGGCGACGAAGATTCAGGCGGTCTACCGCGGCTGGAGAGTACGCCAGACGGTGCACGACTCGAAGGGGCTGAGCCGAATGCAGAACTGCGCCGCCGAGGACCTGCTGAACTGCGTGGCCTCCAAGCTGCACTACATGCTGCGCACCTACCAAATACCCGGCGTCTACTCGCTGCGCAATTCACAGTAAGTCCAAGCATACCAAGTACTTGGTATTTGGTATTCGGTATTTGTGCATGCGAGTCTGATCCGTCTGATCCTACAGCTGTCTGTCGCGCGTGGAGAAGCTGCTGGCCACCACACAGTATCGGTTCCACAATGCGCGTGTGCACTCCGACATGGCGTACCGCTTGAACGTGACGGACAAGCACCGCAAGGAGTTCAAGCAGAGCAAGTACTACACGAATACGCCGTTCAAGGGGCCCGACTACAACCTGGCCTGCAAGCCCCACTGCAGAGAGGCGTTGCACAGGACCAAGGACATCGACGGAAGGATGTTCAAGATCATAAACGACTACGAGAAGGCGCAGATGGAGGCCAAAGCCAAACTGGCGCAGTACAATCTGGCCGAAAGTGAGTTCCCCTTGCACCAGCTCTCCCCTTGCAGGTCTCGCTAAAAGTCTCGATCCACAGGGAAGCGGCGCCAGCACATCAATAAGGTCCTCCAGCGAACTCAGCGGGAGAAGCACAACTTCTGCGCCGATGTGATTGCCAGCATGCGACGCTGGAGCATCTGGAAAGGAAACAACTTCGCCATTGACAAGGACATCTTTTGCAACACCGAGAAGCTCGAGCACTTCCTGGACGAGGCGTTCGAGATAATGGACAACCTCTACAACTGCCACTGCAAAATGCCCGTGCACGACGTAGTCATTTGTCACTGATTCTTGTAAAATTCAGAATGCTACAAATAAACTGATGCAACGATCATTCAATTCAACTCTCTGTTTATTATGATAAATTTATACAATTGTTCGGTCCGAAAGGCTCAATTCACTTGACGCTCCCTCCGCTGAGGCCGTCTACACTTATTCAAATATGGCTCTAAAGCAATCAACTGAAATGGAAATTCATAGAGAATTTAGGTGTATTTACGTACATCGCATTTCGTATTTGCCTACCAAATATGTTGCCAAAGAAGCGTAAGAGAACAGTTACAAAAGAAGGATTGTTTGGATCCTCCCACCTCTCAGTCATGGTATCTATTACAAAAATACATTATATATAGATATATAAGTATATGCACTTATCGGATGCATTTGTACGCTTACCTAGATTCTCACAGTTCAAACGTTCCGTACCCAAATCTAAAACAGTAGGACCCTCTGGCTCCGGCTCGGTTATCAAATTTTCCAAGTTTGGATCCATTGCAGCGCGCGCAGAACCAAAATATTACGCAAAAACAAAAATTTATGAAATACAACTGAACTACTATACATTAACTTCACTTATTTCTAGCGGGCGAATAACTGACATTGCCCCGATTACCCAGAATATAGCTGTGAGGATTTCAGCAGCGACTACTATGTTCTATCGATGTGTAAATATATAAATGTTGCTAGCATTAACGGCGCTCAGTGTGCTCCGAAAATGCTTTAATTAGGCATCACAACTTGACATTCATATTGTGGGCGATCCGGGCGACGACATCAAAAGGCGCACAGCTGGAGAGGGAACTAATTGTAATATGCCGTCATCAGCCAACATCATCAGCACCTTCATCATCATCATCATCATCATCCGCATCATCATTATCATTTCTCTTAGTCTCAGAGTGACGATAAATGTGTCTTGGTCAGTGTCGCCAGAGAAAAGATATATATATATATATATATATATATATATATATATATATATATATATATA